AAAAAAAAAAAAAGGAAAAAAAAAATGTTACTACAGTTAAAGTCTACATAACTACAGAAGCTTCCTTTTGATATTTCTCTGGTATATCTTTTCTCGACTTTTGGTTTTCAACATTTCACCTTTGTTTTAGATGTATTCTTTTAAAAAGTATGTAGCAGATTGTTAAAAATCTAGTTTAATGAGACCCAAGATTTTTTGCAGAAGAGCTGCATCCATTTACAATTGGATTTACTTCTACCACATTATTTTGTGCTTGTTATATCCGCTTTTTCTTCTGTGCCTTTGTTCATTTTTTGTTTTTCTCAGTTCCTTTTTGCTTCCTCAACATATACTATTGAAACATATATTAAACTGTTTTTTAGAGGCAGTCCTTCAAATTGTCAAGTTCATGCTTAATCAAGGCTAAAGCTCCTCTGTCTTTACTCTCCTTCAGAATAATGAGATCTTTAGACTGAATAATTTCAATTACCTACTCACATGCATTAGGCTTACAAGCAATATGTATGTTACCTTGAAGGTTTACATCATGTTTTTTCCTCCCACAAATTAGGCACTATTCTTGCTTTATACTACCAATACTTCAGATTGACTCCAGTGCTTACCATTACTTCTTACATCTCAGACTTTGTTTCTGGAATAGCTTTCTTCCTGGAAGTATATCTTTTAGAAGTTCCTTTAGTGAGGCAATTTTGGTGGGAAATTCTGGTTTTGTTCATCTGAAAATGTCTTTATTTCACCCTCATTCTTAGATAACACATATAGCATCAAAAATTTTTGAATGATAATAATGTAGCATTTTATAGTTGACAGCTGAAAACTTTATATTCAAAGGAAGTGAAAGGGCAAGGACTATTTTCATTTTGTGCTGCATTTATTAAATGAATGTCTGAACTATTTTTCACAAGCATTTTTCACTAGATTCTCAGAATAACCCCTGAAAAGTTTGCTTGTAAAAAAAAAAAAAAAAAAAAAAAAAAAAGCATTTTACAATCCTCCTCCCCACCCCCACTTTTTTTTGGCAGGTAAATAGGACAAATAAATGGGATAAATATTCTAAGATTTGTAATTACACACTTCCATTATTCTTTCATTCTATCCAGCATCCCTGGTATCTGTTTTCTGTTTAACTTATGATGTTCCATTTCTGTCTTTCTCTTTATGCCTGATTCTTTTTACAAGTATTAAAATTTTCATAGCGTTCACAAAGTCCCATTAGTATAACTTCTAGTTTAAAAGAATTTTTTATTAACCAGTATTCTTAATTCCTTCCAACATGTCAGATAACAAATCTTTTTAAGATAACTAAGTCTTTGGTCTGACACATTAATATATAATTGATATATTTAAGTTAATATAAAAGTTCATTATTTTTTAATCATGTTCCTGAAGAATGTTATAAATCTGTGAATAACAGTCCATTAAATTAACACTTCATTTATATAAAGGAGAAATGGAAAATCCTATAATATTCAAGGCTAGAATTCTGCTAGGTTGCTAAGTTTTTCATATGCACTTGTCACAAACACACTACACCAGATGACAGAGCTGGAGGAAAGGGAACTACATTTTCAGGTAACTAAATTTTCATCTCTTTTCTTAAAAACTGAAAGGAGTACTCCTCTAGAGAATAGTAACATGTTTTCAATTTTACTGATCACATATTCTAATCGGTGGTAAAATTAGCATATTTCCCCAACTCACAAATATTTATAAATTACTTAGTATAGCATATACTAAAAATACATGAAAATAAAAATTGAAAGTGGATAGAATATAGATAAACTATAATGCTTAAAATTACATTAATGGTAAAAATAACATTATTATTTTTAAACGAATATAAAACTATTTATTGACCACTGCTCACCAGTATTTACAATAAACAATATACAGTTGGGTAACATTCTGATTACTACAAAGTTATCGTTTTCCTGGCTTCTGCTGAACCAGTAACCCAAATACTGCAAGATTTGAGCCTACATGTAAGGAATGAGTACGGATAAACAAAAACCATGCAGGTTGATAGTTTGGTTTACAAGTTTGTCTACCCATTTATGCCAGCAGATGCTAAAGTGCCAACATCTCTAACCGCGTGACTATGTTTTCATGAGCCAAGTCTTAGATATTCCATAAGTCATGAACTTTTAGTCAATACAGTGACTATGTTTTCATGAGAACATCTCTAACCGCGTGACTATGTTTTCATGAGCCAAGTCTTAGATATTCCATAAGTCATGAACTTTTAGTCAATACAACACAGGGATTTCAACTTTTTGTAAAGGAATGGCTCACCAGAGGAATCTTTAAATGTCCTTTTAACTGAGTCTTGCTTAGCTGATTAAAACACCAGGATTTGTCCAGTTTCCTCATCTGGGTAGGTTGTTGGTAGTGACGAATTTTGCAAATAAATGGTTGCATTTATACAATTCTAGATACAGATATGGATTCTGATATGGATCTGCTTTTAAGTTATCCAATTACAGAATCATTTAATTTGAAAGGTTATGGCTTCAGAAAAAATTCAACTTGAAGTGACTTATTTCTTAGGTTGTTCAGAATGATGGCATCTCAGAAATGTGAGCTTACCCCATGGTTTTGGCTTTGGTGAATGTTAAAAGCAAATAAACAAAAAAAGCCATTTGTATATGTATTTTTTGTATGCAGACACAAAAAAACAAACCCAGAATAGCCCTTAGGCATATGAGTTAAACACAAGTTCTGAATAATAACTATAGAAATTTCCCCCAACATTTAGAAAAGATGTTCTCTAATGCAGAGGAAATAATATACCATGGTATCAAATGTCCTTTTCTGATAAAGGAGGCAACTACAGAAAGCTTAGTAACCAGTGCTCAAAGTAACCAGTGCTATTGATGCAAAAGAACTCAACAACTCCCCCAATACTACTTTCAAAACGAACACATCAAACTTGATTTTCATTAAAATGTAGTTATTTCTTCACAATAGTAAATCAAAAACTAAGACCCAGATTTTATATATATATATAAATATATATAAAAAGCAATGCAAACAATTATTGAGTTTCATCTTCTGGACAAGAATGCCAAGTTAGTCTCTCTTCATAAAAAGCAATTACAATTTGAGGACACTTCATATTTGCCTCTTTTGCCAGCACCAAGTCTGCCTTGACTGAATCTTCTCATTTCATGAGAAACATCAATTCTCCACTGCTGTCTTTGGCACCAATTATTCTTTCAGGATCAAGGCCTCTGGCAAAGCCTCTTGGTTTGTCAGCAGCATCTCTTTTCTTCTTTGACTTGCTATCATCTGATCCACCGTCCGATAAAGATTTTTCTTTTTTCTCTTTACCAGCTTTTTGAGAATTAAGAAGTGCTTCAATTAACTCTGGACAATCTAAATTTTCTTCAGGTTCCCAAGTATTGTCAGCATCTGTAAATCCCTTCCACTTGAGGAAATACTCCACCTTCCCATTCACTACACGTCGGTCCAGTACTTTTTCCACCACAAATTCTTCAGGCTCTGCCTCTTCGACTTTTTTACTTTTTCCATTCTGTTTCTTTCCCATTTTTTGCAATGTAGTTTTATTGGAGGCCATTTTTTATTGAAGACTTGAAGAGCTATTATTCACCACCTCCGAGCTGCTCCAGGTTGCGGGTCTGCAGCGTCTCCCAAAAATAACATTATTTAGTGAGAGCATATTGGCGTGTGGGTGTGAACGACAATAATGTGATCCAATGTAATTTAACTGGATTGCCAATTAGACTGCCTTCGTTTTTCATTTCATAATGTGGCTGAAGGGCAAATACTGAAGAAGAGCTGTTAGACTGATGACTTTTTATTGCCTGCTGACAGCTTGGTTCCCTCTTGCCCCTCACCAGAAGTATTTCCTAGACAAGGATCTCTGGTTTATGAGGGAGATGATCCAGGAGGCCCCATGAGAGTGGGGAACTGAGAGGAGGAGGGAGGAGGAAGGCAATAAACCTGTGTTAATGAATGGATCATCCCTGTTGGCAACTGGGAATTCTCCGTACTGGGGCTGTTCTGAGAAAGGCCTCAGTGTCGAGGGCTGAGGAAGCTGGGGTATTTATACAGCTAACCCTCCTCTTGTTGGTTAAGGATTTCCCAGCTTACCCCACATGCAGCCTAGCAGGCCTTGGTCCAGAAGACATCCTCAGAAGCCCTGAGTTTTTGGAAACTGGGTGAGCGAGTAGGCCCAGGGCACATGGAGGCACAGACAGCACATGCTACCTGTGCTATGCCTGCATTATGAAGAATATCATCTTCAATCTTGGTTTCTTTGCAGGATTCTTTTTAAGCCCTTAAAGAATCTTTGTTAGATAAGTGAATCTACAGTTAAATAGTTTTAACGGAGTAGGTAACATAAATGAACAAACCCACAAGAACTCTACTGTCAATCCCTTCCACTTCTCCCACAGAGCAACTCAGATACACATGTGACATATGACATACTGACATACAGACTGAAGGGTCAAGCCAAATATTGATAAAATTTAATCTTTTCTTAGGTTAAAATGTATAAATAGAATTGCTAAGATTTTCTTCCTCCAACAAAATAGACTGCTTTGTGTATCCACTGCAGTGCATGCGCCCTGTTCTAGCCATCACCGGACCCGAGTATGCAGAGACTTGTTCAGCTCTCAGTTGGAAATGATTCAACTCAAGGTATGCCCGCTACCTTAAAAACGTAAGAAAACACTAGAAACATATAGTTCTAATATAGTTTAAGCATGTGTCTATCACTTAATGAGGAGGACATAAACACTTCAAAACAAACTTCACAGAGTTCCCTGAATGAGTATCTTATTTCCATGTGTTTTAAAAATTATAAAGAAACGTAGAGGCTGGCTGGTTAGCTCAGTTGGTTAAAGCGCAGCCCATAACACCAAGGTTCTTGGGTTCCTATCCCCATACAGACCAGCTGCCCCCCAAAAAGAAATGCATTTAAACTTTTCTAAACAAATAAGTACTTAGTTGAATTCCAAAAATGTGACACGAAGTTATAAAAGTCCATTTTATTTAGGATGAAATATATGTATTATTTATTTAGTTTTAAAACAACTTAAAGTTTAATTATTAATATAACTGATTAATTTCCAATGGCCTAGAAACAGAATAGTCTCAAGTTTCACTGTACTAGTTTAAGAAATCCCCCTAGAGTTTAAAACTTTAGAATCAAATCACTTTAGCCTATAAAAGACTTTTTAAGACTTGCATAATATCCTGCAAAAGACTATTTTATGATACATATCAACAAAACTCAACCCCACTTTCTCTAATAATAAAAAGATGTTTTTTTAAACTGTTACTTTTTAAATGACGTGTAACTAATGAAAATTGGTTGCTGCTTTTAGAATCATCTTGTTTGGAGAAAAATATTCTGTGCTTTACCACCTGTTGCCACGCCTTACACAGATAGGGTCTATAGTCTATGTCCGTATCACTCTTAAAGGTAGAAGGCCCTTCTGGTGAGTTTGAGGCTTTCTGCATTATACTTTGTGTTGCTGCAAAAAGAACCAGGCGATACTCATTTACAAGTTTCTCTAGGAACTGAGAACATTTCTTCAGAGTAGACTCCTGTAAGGTAATACTTTCTCCTCCATTGACACGGTCAATCCAGTAAAAAGCTGACAAGCTATCCAAAATCAAAAGGCAGAGACAGGGGTGACTACAAAACATAGTTTCTAGTGAATAGAGTGTGAGCAGTAACTGGGTGCTACTACTGCAGTATACCAAAAAAAATCTTCCAAGGCAGTATTTTATTATTTCTTCCGAGCTTTGGGATAGTCTATGCTCAAGAATTGTAACAAGCCGCAGGATATCAAAGTGGTAATCAGTATCAATAAATAAGACTTCTACTTCCAGTCCACCTTCTGATTTTGGAAGTATACATCGTGCTGTTAAATGATAAAGCATTTCTGTTTTTCCTGTTCCTTCTGGACCATGAAATTCAATAATATCACCTGCGTAAAATTTAAAAATGTCAGTCAAAATACAGCAGCACAATAGTAATCTACAAAATGAAAAGTCTGCAAAAAAGTTAAAAAGATATTTACTGAATGTGAAAGAAAATATAAATCCATTTGCCAAGATGGACCTGTATAAGCAAATACAAGTAAATGAGAAAATAAAAGCAAATCATTAAATTTCACCTCTGAGAAAGGAGTTGGCTATTGGCACCAAGAAAATTTTATAAACGGTGTGACAAAGTTGAAAGGAGACCAGGAGAATCTCCCAGGGACAGGTGCATATGCACTCACACTTAAACTGGTGACATTAGAGTTAAGAATAAAGAGCCACAGATCTAGGGTTTTTCAAAAATCTACTGGTTACTACGGTACACACGATTTCTCGTAGTTGGTTACAGCATTTCCATTCTTCCCTTTCTCCTGAAGTATAAAACACAATTTGAGATGGAAGGCAATGTGTCCATCTTAAAAACTATTTTTCTTAGTCTCCCTTCAAAAGGCAGATACCAGGTAACATAGTTGTAGCCAATGAGATGCAAGATGACGTCTACTGGGGATTTCTAAGTTTTGCTTTCCCATATAGGTGCCACTTCTGCCCTGACACTCCCTTTTCTGGAGGTGAAGGAGCCATTTTTAAACAGTGAGGACAAAAGACACACCCTAAGGATAGGGGAGCAGGAAGACAGAAGGCTCCCAGGACTTAGATAACAATACAGAACCCTGCACTGCTGTGCAAAGCCTGCCTCTGTACCACTTATGATGTGAGGAAAAGAAACCTCCACTTAAGTAAGCCGTGAAGTTGGACTTCCCTTACATGCAGTTGAAAACAACCCCTAATTAGTGTTTCTCAGTGTTATTGACGTTGCAAGGGGAACAATTCTTGACTTTGCAGTTTCGCATGTTACAGACAGAAAGAGCCCACGGCTCTCAGACCCTGAATGCCAACCACATCCCTCAGCTGAAAACACCCTTACACATTTCCAAACTGCCTTCAGTTATTCTTTGATATTGGAACATCTCTTCAAACTGTGTCCAGCTGCATTATAAATTATTTTCCTCGCATTAAAAATCAAAGTCAACTTTCTACATAGGTCCAGTAACTCTCTTTCACAGAGAACAGCACAAGTTAAATAAAATAACACCTGGGAAAATTGTCCTGTTTCCAGAGCTTTTCAAAATCCACTCTCGGGCCGGCCCGTGGCTCACTCGGGAGGGTGTGGTGCTGATAACACCAAGGCCATGGGTTCGGATCCCATATAGGGATGGCCGGTTGCTCACTGGGTGAGCGTGGTGCTGACAACACCAAGTCAAGGGTTAAGATCCCCTTACCGGTCATCTTTTTAGAAAAAAAAAAAAAAAATCCACTCTCAACAGTGGCATTCTAATTCTCACTAGTTTGTCTGTCATTATTAAGTTATGGCTCAACCACCTGACTGAAAACAGTGTTAAAAATGCAGATTCTTAGGCCCCAACCAAATTACAGTCTATCTAAGAATTCAGTTACTTTATTTCTTATTATTACTAACAAACCATGGTATGTTGGAGCATTCGCAAATAACATATAAAAAAATCTAGCAATTTGCCACCACACCATATTATAAGGTAGCATGTAAAATTTCAGCCAATTTCTACTATCATCTTACATACAACTTGCGATTCTAAATTTATATTAAAAAGAATTTTTAAAAAATGATTCTAGCCTCAAGGAGTAAAACTATTTCCATACTAACAATTGTTCATGGATACTCTTATTAAAAGTTAGCCCAGTGACTAAAACTGTATTCAACCCAGATGTTCAGTTTACCCTTTCCTACTGTATTACTAAAAAGCTAAGCTGAACCATCCACACCCAATAAAAGACTTTTACGGTCCCATATTATAGAAGGAGAATAAACTACATGCCCCAGATGAAGAAACACAGAACCAGTATTAATGATAGTGAGGGAAAGCTGAAAACAGTTTAGAAAGATTAATCTCCAGATGAAGACCAAATGGTCTGTAGGACATAATGGGCCATGCAAAAGCATGAGATGGGAAAGTAGATAACTTGTTCTGATTTCACAGATGGGACTTTGAACTTTGGACTTTTGAGTTGAAACAGGTTAAGACTTTGGGGATGGAATGAATGTATTTACCTCTAAGACAGACATAAACTTTGGGGGGGGGGGCAGGGGCAGAATATCATGGATTGAATCGTGTCCCCCCCGCAGTTGAATGTGTTGGAGGCTTGGTCCCCAAGGTGAAAGTATTAAAAGAAGATAGGAAATATTATTATGGTAAATGAAAGGTGAGGACTTGAAGAGGTGATTAGATTGTAGGATCGTGCCATAGTGAATCAATTAATAATGGTGGTCAGGGGCATGGTTATGAGGGCTTTAAAAGGAGAGCATGTGAGAGTCTCTCTCGCGCTGCTTTGCCATTTCTGCTATGTGAGACCCCTGGGTCACTGTCGCCACCACCAAGACCTTCAACAGATGTGTTCCCTGGACTTCCCAGCCTCCAAAACTGTAAGCAATAAATTTCATTTTCTAATAAATTACCCAGTTTCAGATATGTATGTTATAAGCAACAGAAATGGACTAATACAACCAGTGACTACTTGATTATATTTCTTATTAGCTTTTTTACAGGAGGGACTTAAATATTCTATCCCCAGCACAAAACACAGTATCTTCTGAATATACTTCATCAGCTTACGTTCTCCTTAAGATTCTCTTCAGACACATCTAAAGAATGAAATATAGGTCCTCACTGGTGAGGGTTAAAGACCTAAAAGTCAATTTTGGAACATGGCATTTTGAAAGGTAGGTATAGTAGGGAGTCATGGATGGGGGTATGGCTTTAGTTAGCAGAGTTTTGTAGGTATGAAGGCCCTGGACCAAGGCTTGGCACAAGGGACCAACACAGGAGGCAAAGAAAGAATAGGAACAAATCGCTCAGTGCCGGGCATGCCCCCTCCAGAGACCAAATGGTGCTGACAGTTTTGTCAGGTCTTTAGTCCTGCAGGGTAAACTTAATGCAGTGGTTTAAAAGTTCTTTCCCTTCCTTCAGATCCCAGTAGCAGCCAGCTGCCAAAAACCAAAACACAAACAAAAAAAACCACACACACAAAAAATAAAAGTGCTTCCCAGAGAAGGTACTGATAACACCAAGATCACGGGTTTGGATTCCTGTACTGGCAAGCCACCAAAAACAAAATAAATAAATAAAAAATAAAAGTTCTTCTCAGAGATAGGCTTGGAAGTACCTGTACACATCAAACACATACACAAAGCAGGGATTTTTTAATTCACATACATATCCTGACAAGAATTTAGCTTTCAAAATGGTATGTTTTGATGTATCTCTAAGTGTCACAAAATAAAAACTTCTTATGGCCAATAGGATTTAAGATTCAAGACAATGATAAGGGGCTGGATATAGCAATCTGGGAGTAATCTACACAAATAACAGAGAGAGAACAGAAAATGCTCTTTGATGGGTGAGTTTGAACCTAAAATTAAGAATAAAAGGCCAGAAACTCAATTCTTGGGATATATCCACAGTTAGAAGAGTCAGCAGAAGATAAAACAGAAATTTAACAGAAAAATCAGGAGGAAAAACATCACAGGGTACAAAAGAAGGTTTCAAGAAGATAAAATAGTACTAAATAATAATAAATGAAGCAGAAAAGTCATAAAAATGAAAAAATGGCAGGAGAAAGAAGAAAAAGTTCCCTGAATTGGTCCAAGTGATCTTAGAGCAATAAATGTACAGTTTGCAAAGGCACATTTAACATAAATAATATTTTGTGAACCAAACTTCAAAAACTGAGATACTCATAAGATAGAGTGAAAAGGCACTATAGGGGGTATTCACTACTTTTAGAGTTAACAGCCAGAACCGAGATCAGAATGCAGGAAGTTAGAGGATACATGAGTAATTAGAAATGTAACAAATTCTGAGATGAAAAGAAAGGGGCATGGTTTCTCTTTCCACGGGGAAAGAGAAACACATGGCACTACTCAGAGGGTAACTGAGTTTTTTCTGGATATTTCTGAAATTCCCAGAATAGGGAAATAATGAAAACTTTGCCAAGTATTTTCTCGGACAGAGGGGTGTTGATCATGAGCACCTTTCAGCATAACTCAAAAGACTACGTACTTGAAAGCACTTACCTATATGGTTTAACAAGTTTTTCGAAATCTTTTTTTTTTTTCTAAACCTATACTTCAAGTAAGAAATACCTGAGGGGCCGGCCCGGTGGTGCACTGCTACAGTGCGCCACTTGGGAGGTGGTGGCGCTCCCGCCGAGGGTTCGGATCCCACATACAGACCGGCCGCTCACTGGCTGAGCGAGGTGCGGACGCAACACCGAGGGTTGCGATCCCGTTGCCGGTCCCGGTCCGGTACGGGAGCAACACTGAGGGTTGCGATCCGTAGCCGGTCACGAAAAAAGACAAAAAGGAAAATGGCACACTGCTACAGTGCGCCGCTTGGGAGTGTGACGGCGCTCCCGCCGAGGGTTTGGATCCCACATACAGACCGGCCGCTCACTGGCTGAGCGAGGTGCGGACGCAACACCGAGGGTTGCGATCCCGTTGCCGGTCCCGGTCCGGTACGGGCGCAACACTGAGGGTTGCGATCCGTAGCCGGTCACGAAAAAAGACAAAAAGGAAAAAAAAAAAAAAAAGAAATACCTGAGGTAAGTACATAAATTCCTTAGACCCTTGGTTTGGCACGAAAGAAACTGAATCAAAGAAGTTTAAGGTTAAATCCTTGGGTAAGACTGTAGATAACAACAGTCTTCTTTTACAGATTAGCAAAGCAACTATAAAAAAGCCATTTATAACAACTGGGGAAGTAAAATCTGCAAATCTGCAAGTTACACATGAATACCATCATAAGGTCCTTGAACTAAATTCCTTACAAATATGTTTAATGACAAAATCAGTTTTACTGATTTATAAACATTTACCATTCAATCATTAAGGTCAAAAATCACATTCAAACATTATAGAGGGGACATAGTCCTAACTTTGTTTGTTTGTTTGTTTGTTTGTTTGTTTGTTTGTTTGTTTGTTTGTTTGTTTGTTTGTTTGTTTGTTTGTTTGTTTGTTTGTTTGTTTGTTTGTTTGTTTGTTTGTTTGTTTGTTTGTTTGTTTGTTTGTTTGTTTGTTTGTTTGTTTGTTTGTTTGTTTGTTTGTTTGTTTGTTTGTTTGTTTGTTTGTTTGTTTGTTTGTTTGTTTGTTTGTTTGTTTGTTTGTTTGTTTGTTTGTTTGTTTGTTTGTTTGTTTGTTTGTTTGTTTGTTTGTTTGTTTGTTTGTTTGTTTGTTTGTTTGTTTGTTTGTTTGTTTGTTTGTTTGTTTGTTTTATAGATGACCGGTAAGGGAATCTTAACCCTTGATTTGGTGTTGTCAGCACCACGCTCACCCAATGAGCTAACCGGCCCAATGAGCTAACCGGCCACCCCTATATGGGATCCGAACCCGTGGCCTTGGTGTTATCAGCACCACACTCTCCTGAGTGAGCCACGGGCCAGCCCCTAACTTTATTTGAAGTCACTATCTCATTTATGTTTCTGTGAGCTGTTACAAAAAACAGCACCCTTGTCCAGCCAAAGTATTAAATATGACAACTTGTAGTTTAAAAAAAAAAAAAAAAAAACCTACACTTTGGCACTTGAAAAAATTAAACTAAATCAGAAAATCTGGATGATTTGGCCTCGACAGTTACTCTTACAAATAGAATGCTGTAAGGAGTTTCAGTAACAGATTGTCGGAAAGAGTTTATGAATCTAAAGATTCTTCAAAATAAGAAAAAGAAAGAAAAGCCAAAAAATACATCATTTTCGTACCAACCTACTAACTATACAACAAATACGAGGGCACTTCAGAAACTTCATGGAAAAATTCGTATTATCTTTTAATTCTATTTTTCCACAAACTTTTAAAAATACCCTCATATGTTGAATTTGCAGATTACATTCATTACAGTACAAAAGAAGTGATAAATTGGTACATGGCACTGAAAAGCTACTATCCAAAAGATAAAAAACATTAAAAATATGTTTCCAACAGCACTAGAGACCCCTATAATCCCTAAATCTCTTATTGCTCCAATTTAAGTTTCTCTATGAAAATTTCTGATAAACTACTGTTGTTGATAGATAATCTATGTTTCCAACAGCACTAGAGACCCCTATAATCCCTAAATCTCTTATTGCTCCAATTTAAGCTTCTCTATGAAAATTTCTGATAAACTACTGTTGTTGATAGATAATCCTTATAAGCCCAGTCTTATATCTGTTATTATTCCAATGGAGTAATCATCTAACTAGTTTTACAGCTACAGGATCTATGATAGTTTTAGATAAAGTTTTTGTTGGTGACTAAATATGATGTATGGTGACTATAATATAATATTTAATTATAATATAATTATAATATTTAATAATATAATATTTCTATAATATAATATTTAAAGTTTCTATAATATTCTAATGTAGAAGTTATGCTGCAAACCCATTTCAATATATTAATAATATCAGTTTCATATGGCTCACCTTAATAACATCCTTTCATATGGAGAGACTACAAAGACAGTTCAGTTTTTCTGGTCTAATATATTTGATCAAAATTTGTCTTTTATTACTGATAGTTTAGATTTTTTTTTTTTTTTTTTTGGATAGCAGATCTGCTGTACAAGAAATATTAAAGGGATTCTACTCCTTCAGGCTAAATGAAAGGATGGTGGACAGTAACTCTAATCCAAATGAGGAAATAAAGAGCAAAGGTAAATGTAACTACATAGGTAAGTATAAAAGACAGTATAAATGAGCAAAGGATCTGACATTTCTCCAAAGAAAATACACAACTTGCCAATAAGCACATGCAAAGATACTCAACATCATTAGCCATTCAGGAAATGTAAATCAAAACTACAATGAAATACCATTTCATACTGCCTAGGATGGCTATAATAAAAAAGACAGACAATAATTATTCCCAAGATGTGGGGAAATTGGAATTATCATACACTGTACTGCTGGTGGCAAGTAAGATGTGAAGCTACTTTGGCAAACAGTCTGGCAGTTTTTCAAAAGGTTAAACGTAGAGTTGCAGTAGGACCTAGAGGTTAATCCCTGTCCTAGATATTGCCCAAGAGAACTGAAGACATGCATCCCCAGAAAACTTACATGAATAACCATAACAACATTATTCATAACGGCAAAAAATGAAAACAGCCCAAATGTCCATCAACTGATGAATGAATAAACAAAATGTGATATACCCATATAGTGAAATATTATTCAACAATACAAAGGAATGTGCTGATAAATGCTACAATGTGATGATCGTTGAAAAGATTATGCAACATGAAAGAAAACAGTCACAAAAGACCACATATTGTATGGATTCCAATTATATTAAATGTCCAGAAAAGGCAAATCTATAGAGTCAGAAAGCAGATCCCTAGTTGCCTAGGACTGAGAGACATGGGGGGTGACTACTAATAGGGATGGCTCTCTTTACGGGGTAATGAAAATGTTTAAAGTCAATTGTGGTGATGGTTGCACAACTGTGTGAATATATTAAAAATGATTGGGTTGCACTCTTAAATGGGTGAATTATATCTCTGTAAAGCTGGTACATCAAAAGCAATTAAAAAACAACCTAAGAACACTTCCTTCTTTGTAAGTTTTCCCCAGTGTATAAGTACTAATAGAACAAGTATGCACCTAACGACTTTTTGTTTTCCTGTAATTCCACGAACTTCTGAAGAGAAAGAATAAAAATAAACTATAATAACAAGACTCCCATAAATATTATGTGTTGGAATAAAAGAGGAAAGTCAATGTACGTCTGAAGATTTACTGCAGGTAAGCCAAACGTCATCAAATCTGACATAGACAAGGCTTTTTTTTTTTTCCTTGTCATGATCTGTTTCTCATTTTTTTAATTGTATGGTTTAAACTATATAACCTCTTGCTAGGAGTATGTTTATATATATGAACATATGGGGAAAAACTTACTTTATAAAACTAAATTTATGGCACTATATTTTTATTTAAGGCTGTTTTTTTTACCATGCACAGGTGAATCTTCATCAGCAAACAAATATGGTTCTATTTCTTTCAAGGAACTTCTACCTTCAAGTCGGGCAAGGAGCTTATAAAAGAAACAAGAGAGAGGAAAACTCATTACTTAAAAAATATAAAGTCCTAGAAATTTATATTTATACAATTTTCCAAGAATTTGTGAGAAGGACTTCATAATTTTGAGGATTTGGAAGAGAATATATAATCGGACATACGATTTAGGAGAAATACTGTGTTCATTTATTCTTAGGCTATTTTACTTTTTATGTACCAAATACTGTACTGATGGTATAAAAGGAGTATGTGCCCTAGATGGAATGTACAGTATAGTTTAGGATACAGGGACAAAATGCTAACTGCAAAATATTTACCTTCCTTATAATTATCTTTCTCACAGTACTTACCATACCTGTTATATAGTTACCTGGTTTAATTTGTCTGTTCCTTTCTATTGTCAGCTCCTTATCTAGCAGGGGGAGGGGACAAAGGAAAAAGGTGGAGGACAACTTCCTTGAGGAGTTACCACCTGAGCTGTGCCTCAACTGATAATCCAATAATCCCTTTGGTGGATGGGGCATAGGCGGGCATACCAGACATATGGGACAACAGCAGCCAAAGCACAGAGGTTATAAACAGCATTGTATGTAGGTAAACTATAAGCAGATTTGAATTGCTAGAGCTTGCAGCATGAAACAGGCAGGAGATAGTGAAGTCCTAAAAGAGAGCAGAAGTCAGAGCATGTAAGGCCTTAAATGCCATGTCTAGGAGCTTATCTTTGGCTTGTAGACTAAAGCAAAGGGTTTGAAGCTAAGCAATGAGAAGCGGTCTAGCACAGTTAATAGTAAACAGTCGGGATTCCAGAACCAGACCTCCTAGATCACTTCTCTGGGCCTTAGGTCTCTCATCTGTAAAGTCAGGATAACTTGTATGGTTGTTGAGGATTAAATGTGTTAAAAAAGTGCTTGGCAAAGATAGAGTAAGCACTACATAACTACGGACCTCCTAGATCACTTCTCTGGGCCTTAGGTCTCTCATCTGTAAAGTCAGGATAACTTGTACGGTTGTTGAGGATTAAATGTGTTAAAAAAGTGCTTGGCAAAGATAGAGTAAGCACTACATAACTACGTGCTATTACTGTCTGCATTTCAGACAGACCATCTTGGTGGCTACTGGGGGTTAGATTTCAGGAGAGTAAAACTAGGCATGGATGCTGGAGCCTATCACGCTAATCTGGAGGAGTGCCTACACGATGACAGAAGTCGTTAAGATGACAGGAAGCAGAATTCAGTGACTGATTTAAATGTCAAGGAGGGAAATGTAATCAAAGCTGATTCTTAAATTCTAGGGAATCAGCACAGATTTGCCAACCCTTCTAAACAACAAAAGAGAAAAAAAAGTGTATCACTAATGGGAAGAAAGGCATCCTTTATTTGCAATTTCTAACTGAAGTAAGTTTTAGAAAGATTCCCCAAAATGATGAAAACGTTCTACACATTAATTTAACAAATATTTGTTGCATTTATGTAGTGTACAAAGCATTGTGCTAGGTACAATGGAGACTACAAAGATGAAGATGACAATTAACCCACCCTCAAAGGCTTGCAGTCTAGGTGCTCTAGAAGACGAGACTATCACAAAACAAGGAAAGGATATAGGTGGAGTGCTTAGAATTACAGCGAAGATTCTGATGGCATGCCCACAGTCAAAACTATTTTCATAAAAATATAAATATAAAATATTAAGACATTATTTGCCTTTTTCACTAGGCTGACATTTACACTGATGGTATAAAAGCATGTTAGGTAAAACTGCTGGCACCTGGTGCTATCAAGGCAGTGACATCAAAATGCATTAGTATACATTGTATTCTTCACCACATGTACTAACAGTAGAACAGAACTAGCTTTACATAAAAATGTCTTGGATGAAACAACAAAAATGGTTAATTTTATTAAATCATGACCCTTCAGTACACTTAAAATATTAAATGATGACATGGGAAGCATACTGTGTAATAAAAAATTTAACCCTGCCCAACGAGAATTCTGGCCTTTGTCCTTGGCTCTAGGGAGGTAATCTCTAAACCCTTGGAATGTCCTGCCTGATAAGAGTCCCTTTCTTTACCTGGGGGACTTGAGCCACACCAGAGTCTAAGAATGTGATTTATGGTGGGGCCTGTGGGTCACGCAGTATCAGGTCAACTTTCCAGAGGACCTGGAGGCTGCGGTCAGCTAATGTGGGCAGCTGACTATGTCTTAATGGCAGAGCCCCAGTAAAGATTCTGGACACCAAAGTTCAGGTAAGATTCCCTGGTTGGCAATATTCTGTCCATTGTCACACTGTTGCTGGGAGAATTTAGCACTGCCTACAACTCCACTGAGAGTACAACTGGAAGTGCCATGTTTGGAACTCTCCTAGCCTTTGTCCCATTGTGTCTCTTCCCTTGGCTGATTTAAACGTTTCCTCTTGCTGTTATAAACCATAACTATGAGTGTAACAGCTTTCGGTGATTCTGTAAGTCCTTCTGAGACATAATGAACCTGAAGGTGGTTGTGATGGCTTTTAATGTGTCAACTTGAATGGGCTAATAAGAGATACCCAGACAGATGGTAAAACATTATTTCCGAGTGTGTCTGTGAGGCTGTTTCTGGAGAGATCAGCATTGGAATCAGCAGACTGAATAAAGATGTGCCCTCGCCAATGTGGATGGGCTTCATCTAATTCCTCAAGTACCCAAATAGAATAAAAAGGCAAAAGGAAGGACAAGTTCTCTCTCGCTCATTGATCTAGAAAACTCATCTTTTCTTGCCCTTAGGTATTGGAGCTCCTGGTTCCTGGGCTCAGATTCTAGGACTTATACAGTGCCCCCTGTACCCTACCCCCCACCACTGTTCTCAGGCCTTCAGCTTGGACTGGGAGTTATACCAATAGCTCACCTGCCTCTCAGGCCTTCAGACTCAGACTGAATCATACCACCATTCCACCAGCTTTCCTGGTTCTCCAACTTACAGACAACATACTGGGACCTCTTGGCCTCTGTAATCATGTGAGCCAGTTTCCATAATAAATTTCCTCTTATATACCTATATATATCCTCTTGGCTCTGTTTCCCTAGAGAACCCTGACTAATACAATCTACATAACTCAATGAACCAATACTTCCAAAAGACCAATGCATGATGTGAAACCATTCCTGGGTAAAAGATTCAGACAAAGTGTAAGATGGACAGATGTATTTTAATGTATGAAAAATCCACTGATATAATTTTTTTCTTTTGGCAGCTGGCTGGTACAGAGATTCGACCCCTTGACCAACTGATGTAATTTCATATCTCATGTTCCAATTAGCCTTTAGGAAAACTACTGTTGTCGAGTTTTGGTGCAGTACAAAGAAAAATTTCCACAATTATCTGAAAAGATGTTAGAATGCTCTTCTCTTTTCTAACTACATATCCCTAAAAGAAGAAATTTCCTCATATGCTTTAATCAGAACAACATATTGTGATAAATTGGACACGGGACATAAGAACCCAGTTAACTCCTACTAAGCCAGACATTTAAATGATTTGCAAATATGTAAAACAATGTCACTTTTCTAAGTTTTTTCGTTTGGGAAAACATAACTATTTTTCATAAAAATATATTATTTATGATAATATTACATGGGTTTATTATTGTCACTTGTACATGAATGTAAATATTTTAAAATTTTTAATTTCTCAGATTCATTGACAGATATAACCCATATGAACAAAAGCTTTTTGGAAGCCTTAAAAATTCTAACTGTGTAATGCAGTCCTACAACCAAAAAGTATGAGAACCACTGAATTAAAAGATTGAAAGAATAAGAATAAGACAGAAACTTTCATGGTCAAGATGGAGCATATGAAACAACAATAAAATGTCTTTAAAAGCACGTATACAAATAAATAACATCCTCATCAGAATAATCAAGCTGGGAAGTTACTTACTCCAATTGTTTACTCTGTCATTGTTCAATATCATAGAACCATCCCCTCTGAGAATTCCTTATAAGACAGTATTCAAAAAAAGTATTATAGGGCTGGCCTGGTGGTGCCCTCGGTAGAGGGTGGCGCTTGGAAGAGCAGCGGCGCTCCCGCCGAGGGTTCGGATCCCATATAGAGACCGGTCTGCTCACTGGTTGAGTGCAGTGCGGGCGCGACACCAAGGGTTGCGATCCCGTTGCCAGTCGCGGTACAGGCGCGACACTGAGGGTTGCGATACCGTTACCGGTCATGAAAAAAGACCAAAAAAAAGGAAAAAAAAAAGTATTATAATTTTATTGAATGACTCTTTTGGACAAAGATAGTATTACTCATTTTAGTTACCCACCTGTCTCAGCCAATTTGCACCTGACTTTCCACTGTTATTAAAAAAATCAAATTCATTTTCAAAGGAGGAAAACTGTCCACCAATCAGAATATTCAAAACAATGTTTTACAATGCCAAAGCAGAGTATACTGAGTACAGAGGGGATGAAAGTACCTCCCAGAAACTGGAAATAGATTTAACCTTAGATTTAAGTTTAGAAATAATGGATAATATGAACAATTCATAGAAGTCACTCTGTAGGAGGGCAGCCACTAGGTTAGCTCACTTGGTTAGAGCATGGTATTTTTACACCAAGGTCAAGGGTTCAGATTCCTGCACCAGCTAACCACTCCCCCAAAAAAGTCACTCAGTAGGATAAGAAATTTCCAAACCTAAACAGAAAATACCCTAAAAATTTGACATAGATCTGACTATTACAGAAAATTATAATTAATGATGTCCAGATTCAAGGAAAGAGTCAAAAGAAGCAGGGTATAGTCAACCTGCAGTTTCAGAAGGTAAAGAGTTTAAGTGTCCAGGGTAAGGGGAACCCAAATAAGTTCTGCTTCACCTGTTAAACTGTCTGCTTGACAGTTTAATCCTTTCAGGGAAGATTCACACATCAGGCAATCACAGCTTGGTGATGGTAGCATTAAGATAATTCAACTCTTCCTCTTGATTCTCTAAGCAACCTGAGGCAGAATTTCCTAACTAGTTAAGAATACACAGTGAACACAA